GACACACCTTAGACTTAAAGACACAAACAAACTAAAACTCAAAGGATGGAAAAAAATATACCAAGCAAACAACACTTAAAAAAGAGCAGGAGTGGCAATATTAATCTCTGACAAAACAGACTTTAAAGTAAAATCCACCACAAAGGATAAGGAAAGACACTATATAATGATTAAAGGGTCAATACAGCAGGAGGACATAACTATAATAAATATTTAAGCACCCAACAAAAGGGCTCCAAAATACATAAAACAAACTCTAACAGCACAGAAAAGAGAGATAAGACAGCTCAACAATAGTAGTAGGAAACTTTAACACACCACTTTCGGTAAAGGACAGAACATCCAGAAAGAAGCTCAACAAAGACACAGAAGAGCTACATGTGACAATCAACCTGATCTCATAGACATGTACCAAGCACTCCACCCAAAAGCAGCCAAGTATACTTTCTTTTCCAAGGCATATGGAACATTCTCCAGAATAGACCACATATTAGGCCATAAAGCAAGCCTTCACAAAATCCAAAGCATCGAAATATTGCAAAGCATCTTTTCTGACCATAAAGCCATAAAAGTAAAAATCAACAACAGAAAAAGCAAGGCAGATAATCAAACACATGGAAACTGAACAACACCGTGCTCAAAAACTACTGGGTTATAGAAGAAATTAAGGATAGAATAAAGAAATTAGTAGAATTAAACGACAATGAAAACACATCCTACCTTTGGGACACAGCAAAGGCAGTGCTCAGAGGTCAGTTTATAGCAATAAATGCACACATCCAAAAAGAAAGAATCATATTCAAAACATTAACCCTACAACTGGAACAAGTAGAAAGACAGCAGCAAAAGAAGCCCTCAGGTGCCAGAAGAAAGGAAATAATAAGAATTAGAGCAACATTAAATGAAATAGAAAACAGAAAAACAATTGAAAGAGTTAACAAGACCAAAAGCTGGTTCTCTGAAAAGATCAACAAAATTGATAAACCATTGCCCACACTGACAGAAGAAAAACAGGAGAGGAAGCAAATAACCTGTATAAAAAACAAGATGGGTGATATCACAACATTCCCAAATGAAATTAAAAGAATCATAACAGAATACTATGAAAAACTGGACTCTAAGAAATCTGAAAACCTAAAGGAAATGGACAAATTTCTAGAAACTTACTACCTACCTAAACTAACACAAACAGAGGTAGAACAACTAAACAAACCCATAACAAAAGAAAAGATTGAAAAGGTAATTAAAAAACTCCCAACAAAAAAAAACTGCTGGCCCTGACGGTTTCATTGGAGAATTCTACCACTTTCAGAGAAGAGTTAACACCACTACTACTAAAGGTATTTCAGAGCATAGAAAAGGATGGAATACTCCCAAACTCATTTTATGAAGCCAGCATAAGCCTGATACCAAAACTAGTTAAAGACACCACAAAAAAAGAAAATTACAGACCAATATCCCTCATGAACATTGACACAAAAATCCTCAACAAAACTCTAGCCAATAGAATTCAGTAACATATCAAAAAAAAATAATGCACCATGATCAAGTGGGATTTATACCAGGTATGCAGGGATAGTTCAACATTAGAAAAACAATCAATATAATCCATCACATAAATAAAACAAAAGACCAGAACCACATGATCTTATCAATCAATGCAGAATAGGCATTTGACAAAGTCCAACACCCATTCACGATAAAAACTCTCAACAAAATAAGAACAAAGATCATGGAAAAAAAATAGGGACAATGCTAGGAGACCTAATACATGGGTAACAATACGAACCATAAGTAACAACCCACAAGCACCAGAAGACAGACTAGATAACTGGGAGCTCCTAAAAAT